ACTTACAACATGCCCATCTTTTAGTTATGTGTTGAAACACGTTCATGCCCATATTACTATTTATTCATAAGATTAAACAACAAATTGCAGATTTGCCCATCAACAAAGTTGCTTTGTTATGAACCATGTGCAACGAGTCGCTTTCAAGTTGCCATACGGAGTGCAGAAAATCCAATATATATTAATAGAAAAAACACTAAATAAAAAATCATATGACAAATATATTTTTTAAAAGAATTATTAATAACAAATATATTAAAATAACAAATATGTGGTAGTTAATATTGATAATTTTATTTAAAGAATATAGAAAATATTTAAAAATATCTCATTGTATTTTCAATAACTACTATATTTTTTTATCCGAGTCAAACACGGGATTAGAATATTTAAAAACAAAAATTTATGATTATTTCTAATAGATGGGCGATATTAAAACTAACAAAGATAAAATATATTTACGTTTGATCAAAATATAACTTTATGACATTTATGCACAAGACATATTATTTTTGTACATTTACAAATGTTAGAATACACGTTTAAATATTAAATTCGATTAAAAACATATTAATTATTTAATCTTCCGCTTAGCGTAGATCAAAATCTAGTAATTACTTAATTCAAATGCCAAAACAATTAAAACTAGATAATTATCCCGCACCGTGTGCGGGTATGAATTTGTTTACGAAACTCAATCAGTTTTCTTAACTAATAACCTATTTTTACCATGTATAAAAATATAAATATATATTATTGCTTGATTTTAATTTTAAATTCATATAGAAAATTAATGTGTGAGATAATATTCTTAATATTTTGAATTTTATTTTAAAAATGAGAGTTTTACGTTTTTTCATTTTGTATTAATGTTGAAATAAAATATAAATGACAGAAAATGATACGTAAAAATTTGTAATTAGTGAAACAATATTTTAACAAATTGGAAACATTAGTTAGGGTAAGAAACAAAAGAATTATACAACTACAATCCTCAAGGAACAAAACTCAAAACCAAACAAAACATATTATGTATTCTTCTTTTGTAGGAGTATTACTCTCCTCATATGAATACATATAGAATATGTAAACTTCACTAATGATAATGTTAAAATTTATTTTATTTTTTTTGGTTCACCTAGTTGATCATTATTCTTTCAATAAGTTGAACAAAAAGAAAATTAATTTTATCTAGTAAAAAAGCAACTAAGTGTAGGAAACAACATAAAAATCTAAACAATTAAAACTTAAAATCAAGAGACATGACATGAATTAAGAACATAATAGACACGGAAAAAAAACAAAAGTCATAGATAGACTAAAAAATTAAATTCCTACTTTGATTGAGTCGCATGAAAGATTCACTAAAAATCTTTGATTGACTTTAACTGAAGATTGAACAACATTATGTTATTATTTTTGTTGTAAACTCTTATTTACAAATAATAAAATAATATTTTAACTATTTATTAATACCGCCAAACAAAAAGATTTTCAGCAATTATTTATAGATTTTGATGATGGTAGAATCTATTTGGAATATTTCACGTTTATGGGTATTATCTTTTGAAATATAACATTTTATCAATTATATGAGAATTGATTTTCTATAGCCACTWATTTTTATATGTTATGTAAATATAATTTCTATACAAAATTGAGTATAATATTAGGCAACTATAAAATTTATTATAATAATTTTGTTATAAAAATTCGTTGATAATGTTTTTACAATTTACTATTCGTTATTAATTTGTTTTAAAAACTTTGAAGTTGGTTGTTAATTTAAAAAAAAAGAAGATCTTAAAACTGTTCTTAGTATTTTATTTGAAAAAACCGGAATAATATATTTAAAAAAAAATGTTGGAATGGTTGTTAAATTTAAACAACTTTTCGAAATAGAAATTATAATCTTTGAAATTTATTATGGTAATTCAATTTGTGTTAAAATATTAGTTAGAAATTTAAAACATGTCATCTTTTTTTAAAGATATGTCATCATTTTTTTCTCCAATAAAATTAAAACAAATAAATATTTTCCCTAATTGTACTTCTTTTTTTTAATGGGAAGGAGATTGAAAAAATATTTAGGCACACGTCACATGATATTTAATGATATTTCAATTGGTTCCTTAAGCCGGCCACTAATCATCATGGACTTTAAATAAGATAATTAGAATTTGTTGGACTATGACCCTTTTACGTAATGGGCTTGGGTATGAAGTGTGTTGATCGGGATAGTCCTGAAATCAAATGAAGAAGGGACAATTGCAAGAAGAAACCCTTTTATTATTATTATTTTTTTTTTCACAATGAAGAAACCTTGTTATAACGGTTGTTTTCCATCTCTTTTTGTAATGTGTGACACTCTTGATTAGAGTGGAATTGTATAAAGGATTTCGTTTGATTCACCGAGACGTACCATGATCGAATTTGATCAATCGAACTCCCATATTTTCGGTATCTCTTTCTTGTAAACATTTGTGGCCCATTTTGGTTTGCTTTCGAGCAAAAAACCTCTAAAAAGAGCTGGAGGGTCTGACTTGAAATCACAAAAATGATACAGTATCTTATTATGCTTCGTCTTGTTGTACATTCAGTGAACCTTATTTGTTTGATTAAACATGTTTTTTCCTTGATATTCATGTTGTTTGCTTATCTATCTATACTTGAAAGAACTCAATGTTTTTTTCTTACGAATGGAATTGAACTGAATATCTAGCACTTATGTGGACTTTTCTAAGCACATGAAAAACAAAATCAATCATATAAAATGCATGATGAAATACAGAATGTGTTTTTGTCGCTGACACT